GACTCGCAACAATGAATAAAATAAAGAACCATCCCCTGAGGAAGTTAACAGTTCGTTGAGGAGAAAGCCAAAGAAAGAAATATGAATAATTGGGAATAACAGGGACTCTACTAGAGAATGGACGCTAGTGTCACAGGGTAAACAATCCATCCCAGGGCTGTTAGAGGAGAGGTGCTTAGCAGGGGTTTTGGGACGAGAACAATGTCTGATTTGGAACTTAACGGTATAAATAAAGTATGATACAGAGAGGGAGGAGGAAACTCCACTTATAACATGTATTATTTTGAAAGTGTAAAAAGCAATGACACATCTGAGGAGTGACTGTAGTTCTGAAAGGCTAAGATGTGAGCAGAAATAGAAGAGAAATGAGCTAAGCAGTCAAGGTTGTCTCGGGCCAGATGGTGTAGGGGTTTCTATGACAAATAAAGGTGTGGCGCTTATTTTAAAGTAGCAAAAAAATCGAATGGTTTTATGGGTAGATGCTACAGCCACATTATCAGACTGCAAATTAGAAATAGTGCTGTGAGATCTGGTTGGAGGAAGGATTGGAAGGCAGAACCAGCAGCAGGGAAGATATTTGGGATCATTCAAACAAAAGCCTCAGTAAAAAACAACACAATTAATGGGAAAAAGAATTGGATACGGAAGAAAATTTGAGATGAGACAATGGAATATAGGAATATTTGACAGTTACTCATTTGCTACAAGAATATAGCTTTCCTTGAAAAAATTAAGGCCAGAGTCATCTTTAAATCATATCCTCAATTCAATATTAGTTCTCTTCCCCCAGACATCACTACTTTAATCAAATCAATGTAATGCAAATCCTTTAAGGACTATTTCTAGACAGGTTCAAATATAGCATCTGGGAGGAAGATACTTAAAAGCCTTCTAAAACATATATCATACCACAATGTATAAATCACTATGCATCTTTTTTTAACTCAACAATATTTTTTCAGTCTTAACTATTGAAACTATTATGCACCATGACCATCTCCCTGATTACTTAGTTATAAGATTAATATGAGAATTATGAGGATGTCTACTTTCTTTCCTATTGCAAACAAAAAATTTAATGCTTCTTTGTGCACATGAGAAACTTTTTTCTGTGATAGATAGATCAAGACTAGAATTGTCAAATCAAGTAAAGTTCTAACTTTAATGCAATGTACTAAATTGTTCCCAAAAGGGCTACATAATTTTATAATAGTGACAGCCTTGATTAAAAGTAGTGTTTTAATATTTTTTCCAGCATATAATTTTATCAAATTTTATGGTTATATCCCACACAATGGGTAAGAAATGTTTTATTATTTTTGAAATATGTATTATTTTAGTAATCACTGAGTTGGATTTTATTACACATCTGTTTAGCATTTGTATTTATTCTTATATAAATTATGTTCATATTTTGCCAGATTTTATATTAGACCACCCATCTTTTTTTTTTTTTTTTTTTTTTTTTTGATGGTACGTGCCCCTAGCAGGAACTGAACCCGGGACTCTCTGGTCCACAGGCTGACACTCAACGGCTGAGCCAAACTGGCCAGGGCTCTTTCTTATTTATTTTCAGTTCTTTAAACATTCCAAATTTAAATTTTTTCCAACAACTTAAGTTGCAAATATTATTTCATTTTGGGACACTCTGTCCCAATCTTTTCCTTATCTTTTAATCTTATATATGATACCATTGCTATATGAGAATATTGTGATATGAATTTTTAATATTTGTAAGAATGGTTAACATAAGTTCTAACCACTTACTACATTTTTAAGTTGTTAACTATAGGCACGATCTTGTACAAAAGATCTCTAGAACTCATTCATCTTACATAATAAACTTTATACTCATTAAATAGCAATTCCTTGTTTCTCCCTCCCTCCAGATCCTGGCAACCACCATTCTCTTCTGTTTCTAGAAGTTTGATTATTTATATGCCTCATATAAGTGGAATCATGCAGTATTTTTCTTTCTGTAACTGGCTTATTTCACTAAGCATACTGTCCTCCAGGTCCATTCCCATTGTAACATGTGGCAGGAGTTCCTTTATTTTAAAGGCTGAATAACATTCCATTGTATGTATACATCTTTTTTTTTTTATCCTCACCCGAGGATATTTTTTGCATTTTTCTTCAGATAGAGCAGAAGGGAGAGAAGGGGGGAGAGAGAAACATCGATGTGAGAGAGACACTTCGACTGGTTGCCACCCACACAACCCCAACTGGGGCCGGGGACAAACTGCAACCAAGGTATATGCCATTAGCAGGAACCGAACTCAGGATTCTCTGGTCCGCGAACCGACACTCTACCAATGAGCCAAACCGGCCAGGGCTACACCATATTTTCTTTATCCATTTACCCACTGATGTACCTTTAAGTTGTTTCTATATCTTGGCTATTGTGAATAATGACATGGGAATGCAGATATTTTTCAAAATCCTGATTTTAATTCTTTTGGATATATACCCAGAAGTAGGATTGGTGGATCATATGATAATTCCATTTTTAATTTTTTGAGGAACCATCGTACTGTTATCCATAATGGCTGCACCATTTTTTTTTTTTTTTTACATTCCCACCAACAGTATGTAACTGTTTTGTTTATTATGTTGTTGTTTTTCCAGGGGGGGTGGTTCTTAAATAAAAACCATTCTAACAGGCATAAGGTGATACCTAATTATAATTTTGATTTGCATTTCCCTGACGATTTGTGATTTTGAGCATCTTTTCATATACCTGTTGGACATTTTATGTCTTCTTGGGAAAAATATGTATTCAGTTTCTTTGCCTTTTTAAAATTGAACTATTTTGTTTTTTTACTATTGAATTGTAAGAGATCCTTATATATTTTGGATATTAATCCTCTATCAGATAGAGTTTGCAAATCTTTTCTCCTATTCTGTAGGTTGCCTTTCATGTCAGAAGTTTTAAGTTTAATATAGTCCCATTTGTTAATTTTGCTTTTGTTACTTGTGCTTTGGTGTCATACAAGAAATCACTGTCAATTCCAATGTCGTGAAGCTTCCTCCTATGTTTTATTCTATAGTTTGCAGTATTATGTAAATATTTAATTCATGTTAAGCTCTTTATTCCATTTTATTAGTCTATGTCTATCTTTGTGCCATCTTGACTTGGTGTTGTTTTATAGTAAGTTTTGAAGTTTAGTATACTTTCCCAACTTTGTTTTTTCTTTTTCAAAATAATTTTGGCTATTCCACTTCCATAGCATTTCCATATGAATTTTAGGGTAAGCTTATCAATTTCTACAAAAAATCCTCTGGCCCTTTGTTAGGGATAATGTTGAAACTATAGATTAAATTGGGGGGCGTGATTGAGAGATACCTAAATATTTCATATTTATAAATATTTTAACTATATTGACTATTGTCAACTTTTAATCTATAAATGTAGAATATCTCTTCATTTACTTAGAGCTTTTAAAATTTTTGCCTAGCCAGTGTGTCTCGTGGATTGAGTGTTGAACTATGGACTGAGAGGTCCCAGTTCAAGTCCCAGTCAGGGTACATGCTTGGGTTGCAGGCTAAATCCCCAGTAGTGGGTTGCAGGAGGCGGCTGATAATGTTTCTCTCTCACATGGATGATTCTATCTCTCTCTCCCTTCCTCTCTCACTAAAAAAAATCATATTCAAAAATATAAAAATAGGTAAAATTTTTTCAGCATTGCGTTATAGTTTTCAATGTATAAATAGGATATTTTCTATTGTATTAATTTCAATTTTTAAAATTTTGATGCTATTGTGAATAAAATCATTTACTTAATTTTACTTTTAGATTGTTCATTGCTATTATATATATAAACAATTGAAGTTTGTTTCTTGACTTTGTATTCAGTGACCTTGTTAAACTCATTGATTAGTTTTAGTAGCTCTTTAATGGATTCCTTAGAATTTTTTACGAATAACTTCATGTCATCTATGAATAAAGATCAAACTGGACATTTTAATTAGTTTTCTTTAATGCATTATCTAGAATCTTCATTACAATGTTGAATAAAAGTGACAAAAGTGGACAACTTTTTATCATTCTAAATCTTACAGTCAAGTGTGATGTTAGGTTAATTCATAGATACCTTTTATCAGGTTGAAGATGTTCCTTTCTATTTCTGTTTTGTAAAGAGTTTTTATCATGAGGCTTTTATTTTTGGAGATTGGTGAATAGTAACACCACCTATTAACTTAGGGAAACAAGACATATTGCTTCTTTTCCTTTGGTCATTTTTGAAATTTTTCCACCACTGTCTCTTAACTGAGAAAGCAAGAAGAGATTTTAAGATGCATCTGTTAAGATTTGTTTTAGTTTAAAATACATGGAATATCCATGTAGAGGTTTACATGGTGGGATAAATATAGAATAATCTGGGGGATATATTCCTGACTCTCCAGTTTATGGAATTCAGTTGGAGTCGCGAGAGTAGATAGACCACCAAGGTAAAAGAAGGGAGCCGAATAAAGATCTCTCAGAAACATCAGTGTACAAATTGGATGGGACACAGCAAGAGGAACTAAAGAGGTAAATTCTGAGAGAGAGAATTTAAAAGAAAGGGAGAAAGTGAATTAGTAAGAGTCAAAGCTCATTGAGAAATAAATCAGTTTCAGAAAACCAGTGCTTCTTGAGTTAGTAATAAAGGAGTAACTGGTAAACTTATGAGAACTATTCAAGTGAACTGAAAAGTGAGTGTGATAAAGCAGAAGTAAGATTGCCTGGGGTTGGGAGGAGCAGAAACAGTATTCATGGGAACATAAACTTTCTCCCAGGTGTTTGCTATTAAGGGGAAGGAGGTAAGTTAAGAAAAAGCTACCAGACAGGACGGAGTAAATGAAAATGGAAAAACAATTTAAAGACAGAAACAGAGCTTTGAGGACAGCTATAGAATAAAACTCCAAAGCAATGGATGTCTGTGGCATAGACATTAGAACAGGTATGGAGGAGAAGAGGAAGGAAAAGGCAAGCTCTTTTAGAAAGCATCACACAAATATGTCATAAGATTAAGTAAATCTTTCTAATCAGTTTTCAGATTCCAGAGCTCAAAGTGGGATCCTGAACGATGTCAACACTCCCCATCCAGGCAGCCCCCAATAGCAGCACTTCAATGACCCCCACCTTTCTGCTGGTAGGCATGCCAGGCCTGGCTGCTGTACCCTCCTGGTGGACGATACTCCTCATCACTGTCTACCTTCTCTCTGTTTTGGGCAACAGTACTATCCTCTGGATCATTGCCATAGAGCCCACCTTGCACCGTCCAATGTACTTCTTCCTCTTCCTGCTTAGTGTGTCTGATGTTGGCTTGGCCACAGCCCTGATGCCCACGCTGCTGGGTCTTGCCCTTGCTGATGCTCATGCTGTCCCTGCCTCAGCCTGCCTCCTGCAGATGTTCTGTGTCCATGTCTTTTCTGTCATGGAGTCCTCTGTCTTGCTCGCCATGGCCTTAGATCGGGCACTGGCCATCTGCCGTCCTCTCCACTACCCAACACTTCTCACCAATGATGTCATTAGCAAGATTAGCCTTACCATTGCTTTCCGATGCCTGGGTCTCCATCTGCCCCTACCATTCCTCTTGGCCCAAATGCCCTATTGCCACCCACAGGTCCTGACCCATTCCTATTGCTTGCACCCAGATATGGCCCGATTGGCCTGCCCAGGAGCTTGGGGTGCAGTCTATAGCCTCTTTGTGGTCCTGTCAGCCATGGGATTGGACCCGCTGCTTATTTTCTTTTCTTATGGCTTAATTGGCAGGGTATTGCAAGGTTTGGGATCAAGTGAGGATCGCTGGAAGGCTGGCCAAACCTGTGCTGCCCACCTCTCTGCTGTGCTCCTCTTCTATGTGCCCATGATCCTCCTGGCACTCATTGACCGTCTTAGGATGCCAGTCCCTCAGTCTGCCCATACACTTCTCTCCTATGTCCACTTCCTGCTTCCTCCACTGATAAACCCTATTCTGTATAGTGTCAAGATGAAGGAGATTAGAGAGAGAATACTCAAGAGATTGCAACCCAGGAAGGTAGGTTGCGCTCAGTGAGAATGATGTGCCTCCACATTTGGTGGCTCAAGGCTACCTGATACAAAGGTTTCCATAGCTGAAATGGTCTTCCAGGTACACATAAGCACATGAACATGAATGGATATGCCTATTTCTAAATGTGTGCCCATGTATATTTATGAAACCTTATGAACACTAGAGAATGGAAGGTCTATCCACTGTTACACTACAAATTAATGGCATTGAAGGGACCAGAATCTAGGTCTTGTCACAACCATCCAAGTATATCTGTTGTTGTTTTGTTTGTTTTTTGTTAATTTCTACACTACATCTATATCCTAATAACTGAGGAAACTGAAGGAGTAAAGCAGTTACATGGGAAAAAAAGAAGACAGAACCATTCTACTCAACTAGATGAAGGACCTTCAACTAGCTTTGGGCCATCATAAAAGAGTAGAGATTTCTTACTTATCCTAGGGATTGGGTGAAAGGGGAGGGCACAAGTAAGTATTTCATTTAGGATTTTCACGCCAAGATATATGCTATACAACTCTGATAAGATCAGGAAAAAAAGAGGGGAAGTAAACTTCTTAACTCATCACTTAATTCAAAATGTTGGTATAATTTTTTAATGTATATGCATATTTGTGATTAAAATTTCAAATAATTCAGAAAAAGGTAAAACTTACCTTAAATTTTGTTATCCAAATGTAACCATAATTCATTTTTTAGTGAACACTAGTAAATGTAAAGTTTTATATAAATGGAGTCTTACACATAGTAGATAAAACTGTTGGTCTTAATTCCTAGTATTAGTATTATATATCCACACCTACATCATCGAGGTCATAGTGGGCATATTGTACTTACCTTCACTTCACTTTTTCTTTGAGCTTGGATGCATGACTTACTCTAATCAACATAGTCCATATGACTTATTTTGGTCAGTAGGATATTAGTGGATGTGATAAGAGCAGGGGCCCAAGTGGGATTTTTTCAGTGGGATTTCTTCCTTTACTATGAATAATGTTTAGCTCTGGTAGTCACTGTTTCTTCTACCTGGTCCCCAGTATGAGATACATGGGGCAAACATAGAGCTTGAAGCCAACCCTAGATGGCTGGAGACCTGAAGCAGAGCCATCAAGTCAAAACAGTCACAATCAAGAGGACTTTTGTCAACCTGATAATCAGCAAGCATTACAATAAAGTCTGTAGTTGTAAGCAACTAAGATTTGTGGTTGCACGTTGAAAAAATGAACAAACAGTACAATTACAATTTTATTCTATAAATATGGTTAATTTCCTAATGATGTTTTCTTTATGTTCTTACAATTACTAACATACATGTATGAGGCACTTGCTTTGTTTATAGCACAAAAGTTGAATAACATTCTGCATGCCTTTCTGTATCTTGTCTTTCTTATGGTAGCAATCCCTCAAAGTAAATATGGATTCTTTCAAGGACTACATAATATTCCTTGGCACAGATGGACTGCAAGTAACTGAACTATTTCCTAGTAATGGATGTTCGAGTTGTCTTCAGTATTATGGCACTCTAAACAATGTTGTAATAAACATCCTCATGCAGCTGTCCATGTGCACTTCTGCTTTTACTTCTATAAGACTGATCTCTTGATCATCACTGCTGGTTTCAAAAGGTTGTACATTTTTTATTTTCAATATATATTGGTGGGTCCCTGCCCCCAAAAGCTATATTAATTTAAATATCTACCCTATGTAGAAGTGTGTCTTTTTCTTGCATATCCACTAAAATTCGCTGTTACCACCATTCTTAAATTTTCAATTTTATTACTGAGAATTATCACATTTACCTTTATGTTGAATTTCCCCAATTGTAAGAATGACTATCTTTCACATGTCTATTGATTATTTTGTTACCTCTATGAATACTCTCTTCAAATAACATTCATCCATTTTTCTATTGTATTGTTCATGTTTTAGATATAAATTTGCAAGAGATCCTAGTTTTATGCCTTTACCAATATAGTATTACATTTTTAATAAAAGCATTAGTTTTAATTAGATTTATTTCCATGTAGTTTTCTAGTGTATGATTTAAGTGTATAACAACTGTTATTATTTATAAAATATTTCCTCATTTCTGTTTCCACATACATATTACTAGAAAGAGAAAAACATTTTTATCTTGAATTATATGTACTTTACCAACTATCATATGCACTATGGTACTATGGTAGCTTTTTATTTTACTTTGGGCATTTTATTTGTATAGAGCATATATATGTAAAAATAGATGATTGGTAACTTTTCTCCAAAATTCTTGCACATTATTTCCATTCATTTGATTGAATTCACTAGATCTCCAATCCATTATGAAAGATTAAGAGTGAAAGTGAACATTCAAATCTTGTTTCTCATTTTAATGGACATGGCATTAATGTTTCACCTGTTAGAAAACTGATTGGCTTCTAGATGGGTAAATGTTATAACATTTAAATTGTTCATTTACATTTCATTTTCATTTTTAATAAGTGTACTTAATGAATTCTGCCAAATGTTTTTTCATAATCCATTAATATAATTTTCTGCTTTAATGTGTTGAAAAATTTTCTGACATTGAAATATTTTTCTCTTGTGTTTATAAAAGGACCCATATTAAATGAAAAGTAACAAACTGAATTAACTTAGTCACCAAACAAGAACACACAATGATATTTTGGTATACATTCCAGGAATGCAGAAATTGTTATCTACTCATATTATGTCAAGTTTCTCTGCAAGATATATTATATATTCTCTTATTAAACTAATTAAATAAGTGTAAATGTCTACTTCACAAATGAAAATACTGAGGCTGAGAATTTAAGAATACCCCAAGTCTCTAAAATTAAAGATGCAATATTTATTTTGAGATTTGCCTTAATCTAAAACAAATATTTTGAAATTGTTGAACAGAGAAACAGCCTGGTTTTGAGGCAATGTTTTTAATCAGTGATGAGGTCTCGAAGAAGCCCTGCTTTCCCCAAGTCTACCTTTTCCTTCTCCCTGATACACCCACTTCCAGTTTTCCATGTATTTATTGAGAGTAGAACCATGTGAACATAGACTTAGGAGCCCCTCAGGCCAGGGTTTGAATTCTCAGCCCACTATTTCTTGTGTTAACTTCGCATCAGTTGCTCCCAAATAGGTATAATGAGGATAACATGAATCATGTCCCTGTATCACAGTGTCTGAACATAAGCGGTGTTTGATAAACTGATTTGGAATTCATAATAAAATTAAAGTAACAATATTTAAATGTTGTATGCATATTACATTTGAATTAAAACTTTATAGCAGGAAGGTTCTTTAAGCTTCTACCACTTCATCTTATAGACAGAAAATGACAACTTGGGACCTGATAATCATTTTTGAGTGGACATTTGTAAATCAATAGTAGATGAACTAAGCCTGGCACCGCCAACTGCCTCTCTCTGTTTATTACTTCACCATATTTGGGGAGCAAAGAACTCTCTTTCACAGCAGAGCCTCAACTGCTCTCTCCTGGTTCTCACTCTTTCCTCCTGGTCACTGAACACATCCATCAACCCTGTCAAAGCCTTCTTGTCTAGTAGTTGTTATTAACACTGCTGACCCAGCAGGAGGCACTGTTCTCTCTCTCTCTCTCTCTCTCTCTCTCTCTCTCTCTCTCCCTCCCTCCCTCTCCCTCTCTCCCTCCCTCTCCCTCTCCCTCTCCCTCTCCCTCTCCCTCTTTCTCTCTCCAAATCACTCCACATCAACTTGACCGATAGATTTGAGGAAAAGCATTTTTTCTCCTCTAACAGCACAAGTATTGGCAAGAACATTTCCAAATGTAAATAAAATGTAACAGTGATACATGGCTGTTGAATGAAACTGTAGACCAGGTAAAGTTCTGCCAAACCCATTTCTCTGGTTGCTCTCATTGCTAAAGAAAACTCTCCAGTGTGTGAATGTGTGAGTGTGTGTGTGTGTGTGTGTGTGTGTGTGTGTGTGTGTTAGAGAGAGAGAGATGAAGAATTCATAACAGGAATCATTAGTTTAAATACCTAGAAGAGAGAAGTGATAAAAGAAATTAGTGGATCAAGTACACACTCAGTCTGTGAGTTGTGAGGACTGTGTTAAGGGGCTAGCTACTTCTCAGTGGATTCCTACTGAGTGTAGGCCTAGTATTGCCATATTTTCTCACTTTTTTTAAATACTTTCTGTTCATTGACCTTAGAGAGAGAAAGGGAAAGGGAGAAAGAGATAGAAACATCGATAAGAGAGAACATCGATTGGCTGCCTCCTGTATGCCCCCACTGGGCACCAGGCCCACAACCCAGGCATGTGCCCTGACCGGGAATCGAACTAGCAACCTCCTGGTGCATGGGTCGACACTCAACCAGTGAGCCACACAGGCCAGGCTATTTTCTCACTTTTAAGATAATTTGCAAATCTGTATTTTTATATGAAATCATCTAAACACTATTTGCCCAGACAGTCCTACCTGAAGACCATATCTGGATTTTGTACTTGTTTTTTTTTAATATGTTTTTATTGATTTTTTTAAGTAGAGAGGAAGAGAGAGAGAGCTAGAAACATCGATATGAGAGAGAAACATAGATCAGCTGCCTCCAGCACACGCCTCACTGGGAACTGAGTCTGAAACTCAGGCATGTGCCCCTCCTGGGAATTGAACCGGGAACTCTCAGTCCATGGGTGGACACTCAATTCACTGAGCCACACCAGCTGGCAGGATTTTGTACCTTTTAAAACCAAATTTATTAATTCATACAATGCAGAAGAAGGAATTATTTTTACATTTCAAAGTACATATGAAACATATCATAAACCGTAATATATAGAAAGTAATTTTTTCAAAACCACACAACCAGGAAATGGCAGAATTGAGACCAGAGAACTTGTTTTCCAGCTGAATCCCTAGTTTGTCTACTCATTTTGCCTCCTCCCTGGCAAGAAAGACGAAGTTATTACAGCAGATAGTTTAAAGGGCATCTGATGGCGTCTTTTTACTCATTCTTCTGTGGGTTGGCTTCTAAATCCTCAGTCTGGAGCTACATTATATCTTAAT